ACAAATACTGTAGGCCCTGTCTCGAATCACGAACTCAACATATTAATATTAAGAACGTGTGCCTATTTGATACATATATACCAATAATACATACCAATAACTACTACTCTAATAATTTCCATCACTATGTGAATATGTCTTTCCATGTTTGTTGACTTTAGCGCGGGAAAATTGGTATCTCCAAGTGATCTGCTAACAATGCAAATTATTAACTTTTCCCTTATGTGTGTCTTTCCACGGTAGGAATATATCAGAAAAACACACAAATATGTATTCATACACTTCTGACGCGCTCATGTCAGCTTTACGAGCAGCATGAATTTGGAGTTTGACATACCACGGCGGCACTCGGCGGCTCAGGCAGATCAACCTATCAGAAGACTCGAGCAGCCTCGAAGTCAGCCAAAGTGCAGGCGCATGTGAATTGAGGAAGAGAGAGGAAAAAAAAGCCCAACTACCTTTTAGATTGGAGAAGAGCAGGAACAGCCCTTCTCACATCCATCTCTGCCTAACAGCTAGACGGCAACCCGAGAGGTTCATTGTGGGGTTGATATTAGTCACTGTCCACAGTACGGCTGGGGAATAAGGATCTTTATCTCTGAAAACGGATATAGGGGCCTCGGGAAGGGTACAACACAGTTCAGACATATATAGGGCCATACATAGTTTCGAATAAGGCCCATACACACGAATACAAACAGGTTTGCCCATTATGTAAGGTTTCCTTGAAATGTAATGTAAAAAATAAATAAAAAACAACATCAGTGTCATTTAACCAAGATAGTGAGTATGTGGAAGGAAAACATTAAGCATGTGAAGGGTCCTTGGCAACAGCTCTCGGGTTTTTATCGCTGGATGTCTTTATTTGCATGGCCTTGATTCATGCGAGGAAAGAACACTGAAGAGAGAACAACACGGTAACAAACATAACCTTATAATAATAATAATAATAATAATAATAATAATAATAATAATAATAATAATAATAATACACATTTCTGCCAAGGATAAAAACGTGTAATCACACCGATGCTTTTTCCACGTGTGACCATAATAAGGTAACCAAAATAAAGATACAAATTGGGTGGGCAAAGCTGCGCAAAAAAACATTTCTGCACCATCAGTGATTATTTGTTTGGAAAACACATAGGCGACCCTGTACATATCAGCATGTAGCCTAGATGAGCATATTACTGGACGTAAATAGAATAGCTAAGGTCAACGTTAGGAGTAATTTTAAGAGTAAATTTTTTTCTTATTAATTGAGTTAAACACTGTGAGATGAACATGAGGAGCCGTGGACGGGCAGTCATGGGGCACGACATTCATCAAGTGGCACCACAGCTTTCCAACTCTTCTCTGGCCGGCGCTCCATGTACCGCCAGGGCTCCATGTACTGCAGGGTTCAACCAAAGCCTCCAGTACATAGACTACTCAACTCAGTAACTGGATACTAGATTAATCCTGCCTGCAGCCTGGCAACTATGTTAATAACTTCTGAATAGACATTCTCATTTGACAGATTTGAGGATTGTATAGGGCGTGTTAGAAACAAGTTGCCAGGTTTACGCTCGAACACCCAATCATAAAAGATGTTAGGTTATAATAATAATAATAAACACTATAATAAATAATGTATTCCAAACTTTGTTTAGAACTTGAAATAACTCTGATATTATGAAACATACTGGCTTAAATTATTGGAGATATGATGCAGCTATTTGGTAGCTAATGGCTGTGTTCAATTGTATGTATTACCCGTTTGGTGGTCATATTACCCGAATAATACTATGCTGATTTACAATAACATCTAAAGTGAAAATTGTACGTCTATATTAGAATTGGACAATACCAAACTATAATCTATCATGTTTGGAACAGGACACATTACCTTGCAATAACCTGTGTGTTAAAGTTATACGGGAAATATATCTGTTTTCATGGGTCAAATATTTTCCTGAAGGTTTTAATATAATTCATAGTTGGAACGTGCAAGTTTGCATGCATTTATATCATTGAAAACAACACACAAAGCTCGAGCTTGGTTTACTGGCTGCTAGCACAGGTCATAAATATTGATAGACAAGCTAGGCGCACGGAGGGCTGGCGCCTGCGCTGTTCAAGATCTTTAACCGCAACTCAGCTGTTTTCAGCTTGTAGCGACGGTTAAAAAATGTTGCATACAGTCTACTGAACAAATAAAGTTAGTGTGAACCAAACTGAAAGGATGAGATGTCCTTATTCCATTTATTAACGGTTCATAAGAGTCCATGCACGGCTTGTTGGTTACACAGTCTGTCATTCAGACATCTTTGTATGGAGCCCGGAAGGATTCCATGTCAGCTATTTTTGTAAATGGAGAATCTCAAATATGGATTCTACCAGAGACACATATTTCGTTTACATTCCAAAATGTAAAACAAATGTAATTAAATTAGTCATAAACACACATAAACAATGTAATTGACATTTTACATAAAACATACATCGTCATTTGGTATTACAGAACAAAAGTAAACAATTAACATTTGAAAAGAGAGGACAAATGTAGGGACGTTATAATTGCAGGCCTGTTGTGTCAGTTTTTAGATGATAACCTTGACGCACGGTGTGGGATTCGAAAGGAACCCCCTGCATGGACAGAGTTGTTGCTAGTTGTACACAATCGTCTTGAACTTGAGTAATGGAATCTCTGAATATACTATATAATATGTTTCAGCACTGTCTGTCTGTGTAGCAATGACATTGACATGGGAGAACATGGCTGTCTCACAGTCCAAGACACTGTGCATTTGAATTCAGCCTTGCCATGTATTTGTTGCTTTTTCAAACCAGGTGTGTGACATAAGTTACGTTATGATCTGTTAACATCTAATAATATTAGAAAGTTACATTTGAGGCCTAGTGATAATTTAGTTCAAAATAAAAATAAGGACATTTAAGACTAGAGTCGATTACAAATTATATGCCTTCTAGCTTTGTCAGAGAACGACAGGTATTTTCAAACAAACCCAATGTCATTCTATGAACCAAATCATACATATGTCCCGTGTAGCCCAGTTGGTAGAGCATGGCGTTTGCAACGCCAGGGTTGTGGGTTCGATTCCCACGGGGGGCCAGTATGAAATAAAAAAAATTATGCACTCACTAACTGTAAGTCGCTCTGGATAAGAGCGTCTGCTAAAATGTCAAATGAAAAAAATGTATGGGTATATGGTATACACAGCACTTTACTTTGCTGGTCTAACGATGCATGAATGAAAACGTATCGGCACTAGAACCGAAATAGAGTCGAAAAAGTCATTTTAGTACCTTCATTCGTTGATCTGAAAAATTAACAGCCCGCCATACGAAGAAAATATGAATACATTTCAAACAAATCACCTCAGATATCATCAATTTCCGCCATTCCAATTACACACGCATGCGCACACACACGAACACACACATTCTTACATTTTAAATTAAATGTTTTACATGGACTTGGAAAAACACATAGTAATTATTCTATTTCATCCTGCACCATGGTAACGTATTTTAGAAAAACATGTGATTTCAAATCTTATTTCAATCTTGTAGGATTGCAAAGTATTTTAATTTAAAACGCATCCTATTTCAAATCTTATTTCAGAGAAAATGTTTAGGCCCATAGTATTACTGTGAGCTATATGTATAAACACACTGTGTGAGGATGGTGACTGATGACTGATCAATACAACACTGTGTGAGGATGGTGACTGATGACTGATCAATACAACACTGTGTGAGGATTGTGACTGATGACTGATAAATACAACACTGTGTGGATTGTGACTGATGACTGATCAATACAACACTGTGTGAGGATTGTTACTGATGACTGATCAATACAACACTGTGTGAGGATTGCGACTGATGACTGATCAATACAACACTGTGTGAGGATTGCGACTGATGACTGATAAATACAACACTGTGTGAGGATTGTGATTGATGACTGATCAATACAACACTGTGTGGATTGTGACTGATGACTGATCAATACAACACTGTGTGAGGATTGTGACTGATGACTGGTCAATACAACATTGTGTGCAGGCTATTTTTCTTTGGCTTTTATTTTAGAATTTTTCGACCTGTCCAATGTGTCATGTTGTCAGATGCAGACGGACAGATCGGGGATTATATGATTCTATTCTGTGTCGCCCCAGCGCACTGGCAGTGTTAACGACGCAGGCCAGGCTGGTGATCACTGGGGTCTGTCTGTTGACATGAACCCTGCCTAATGGCCCGGTCAACCAGGCTGGCTACACCACGAAACAAAGACTACAACACTGACTCCAGAAGTCCCAACACTTCCTCGACACGATGACATCCATCTGACACAGCTAGCTAAGGGAAACTGAATTACATCGAGAACAATTAAGTAAAAACATAAACAATTTAGTTTACACTGACTGATAATTATATCCGTCGCGATTAACCGTTCAAATTACTCGAGGGCAAGGACTGGTATGTTAATTACGGATAAACAGGAGCCAAGGACAGGGCAAATCAAATTACTTAACATTAATTCGTATTACAGAATGGGATTTTGCAAGCCTAAAAAGGCAAGCAGGATGTGATTTAGGTTGTGCCCTTTGATAAGCGGGTGATAGAGCAGGTATGGTAGCCTGATAAGACGGTCCGAATATCATAATGTAGCAGTTAGCCTAGCCTGATAAGACGGTCCGAATACCATGTCCCTTTATTGATAGCCTGTGTGATAAAATGTGCACATCCTATTTGATTTGTGCACGTGTGAACATGTCATTTAAAAATGTTACTTTCAGTATCATAGTTATTTCAATATAATACCTAATACAGGCTTTATAATGCTTTACTAAAGGCCTAGTACTCTATTTAACTGTGTGTTGTTAATTATAAGTGTATGCATTGGTAATCACGCAGCAGTCATTTTGATATCCAGTCATATTTGGACAACAGTAGGCTACGAGAAACAAACATATTGGAAGACAATAGTTGGTTGTATTTTTTATGCTTTAATATAGTACGAAATGTAACCAAACATTATTGTAGACTAAATTCTACATAAGAGCGCATTTCTCCATAAATACCGATCATTTCTAACACGTGCTCCCCTTTTCATGCGGATAAATATGGAAAATGGAGCTATATACATGTAGGTAATACTGTCTTGACATTATCAAGGTAATGGACAAATCGTTTTATCTTTTATCACGTACATAAACAGATTGACACGGAGTTTCAGGCTTTCACTACACGATTTATCGACATGACATTAAATAACAACAATGGTAAGTACTGCGCTACTCCAACTGGACCGTAGACGAAATGTTGCACCAAATACAAAAGCACATTAATAGACTAATAGTCGGTAAGGTCGACATAGTGGAGACGGAAGATATACTGAGTAATTCACATTGGTACACATCAACTACAACATTCTGTTCAATCAACACTAGCCATCGCAATATTATTGTTAAAACCATCTCATTTTCCATATATCTAGGGACCACATTTTCACAAATGTCCTTAATACTGTCATATAACTATTTACAAAATAAAATATTACATGTTTGGACTGTGAATCTTTATGTACAAAAAAAAAAAAAATTCAGGCCCCGAACGGCAGATAGCATGCATTGAGATCTCTTGCGTGCAGTCTTTCAAAAAGGAGCCGGGGGAAATGACAAAAAAACTTTAACTTGGTAGCTGGCTGTGCACCTTGTCCATGCATCGCTCTGTCTCTCTGTCTCTCTCTCTTTAGCCTTGAAACAACCATTTTGTCTTCCTCGTGTTTTTCTCTGTCCACGCATTATAGACTGACTTTCAAAAGTCTTTGATTCCAAGCAGTCCTATTTCTGCAGTCTTTGTGAAAATATTTTACACGTACCATTCATTAAAATTTGACGACAGCGTGGTGTGGTGACTGGTCGTGTGGTGCACTGTAGAGGATGCCGGCGATATGGAACTGGAAGTTTGATTCTCCGTGGACGGGGACACGATGGTGGGCGGCGTGGACGACTCGTACCCGGAACTGGCCGCTGGTGACGGTTGGGGTCCTTGCGTGGTAGCCTCGTGAACCTGCGAGATAGAGCGAAAAATATGTTTTAAAACAGGACGTTTTACATTTTACAATGTGCCTGTGTACAATTCATAGGCTGCCATGCTTTATGGAAATATACGGGCTTCCAATTCAATTATCCACAGTGAGAAGAAAAAAATAAATAGGCTGATTATATACGTTAATGATAATCCATTTTGAATAAATAAACCAAGCTCGTAAATTAAAATGCATGATGCAATCTTTTGCATATGAATATAGCATGAAAGGCTTCATGAAAACACAACAACTATTTACATTCGCTGCATATGTTCCTGCTGTGTTCATATTTGCTGGAATGTATACATAGCATTTTCTTTCTCAAAAATATCCAATGTATCAATGTACGGGCTTATGTACAGCATGCAAAATATACAGAACAATTAAAGTAACTGAGGATTCAAATAAAAGTGTAACTTAATATGTACCTTCATGTGTTTTCGCAGAGAGCTGGGATGTGTGTATGACTTGTCGCACTGCTTGCACAGATATGGCTTGTCAGACGTATGGACGTGCATGTGTTTCTTCCGGTCGCTGCTGTTCGCAAAACGTCTGTCGCAGCCCTCAAACTCACACTTGAAAGGTTTTTCACCTAAAAAAAAAAAATGTACACAAAATAAACATTTTACAAAGGGAAAATATGAACCATAATACATTTTCGTTTAACATCATCATTTCAGAGTTTCAGTTGCAAGCACATTATATAAGATAACCTTATTTTCAGTATTTATGATAGTTTTTAATGTGTGTAGGCCTATATATTTAGACAATTTGTTGTGATCGCATGTTTGCTTGTACCACTAAGATAAACAATGCGCAACAGCACGTCACATATTTCACAAACCTATTGCATTATACTCATTTGATAGTTTCGAAATACCAACAATAAAGTTAAACCGTATTTAATAAATGCATTCAATATTATTGCAAACAAATATTTGCGAAAAAACATCAACAAGACCTTCAAGTTGATACGCCACTGTAGCTTTATTAGTCTGGGAAATATGTCTGACACAAATAACAGGTTTAGCTTTTGGAGCGGAAATTGCGATCGTGCTTTTGAGTCTGAAAAAAAAAAAAACATGTTACATTTCTTACCAGTGTGTGTCCTTTTGTGGATCTTTAAGTTTTCCTGATCGGGCAAACACTTTTCCACAGCCGGGGAAGGGACATGGGAATGGTTTCTCTCCGGTGTGCACTCTGATATGATTTACAAGTTTGTATTTGGCTTTGAAAGGTTTTCCTTCTCGGACGCACTCTTCCCAAAAGCAAATATGGTTCGACTGCTCAGGTCCCCCCACATGCTCCACGGTCAGGTGGGTAACGAGCTCGTGCATCGTGCTGAAAGTTTTGTTGCAAGCCTTTTTGGGGTTCGACAACTGTTCGGGCTCGACCCACTTACAGATGAGCTCTTGTTTTATGGGCTGCCTCATGTATCGGAAGAAGGCCCCTGCCCCATGGTGAGCCGCCATGTTCATGTTCATAGGGCCATAGCCATGCAGCTGTGTGGAGGCGTAGTGGTCGGAGCGGGGGCTCGTAACGTGGCCGTACTGGTCAGCCCGGCCGTACATGTCACCGGTAAAGCCAAGGCGCATCTGGCTGTTGACGACATTAGATGATGCATGGCTTGCGGCTTGCTCGTGGAGTCCCGGGAAGAGCAGGTGCCCCGCGGCATCGGAGTGTCCATGTGGCCCTGCAAAACTTCCCGCTGCCGAGGCGAACAGGCTGTGCTGCGCGCTGGTGGCGTCCCCGAAACCCCGGTTTCTGAAGAGAAAGTCCCGGGTGGAGTTGAAGGCTGCGGTGGAGTAGGAGCTGACGTGTGTCGGGTGGTGGTGGTGACCAAGGGCGGCAGCAGCGTAGCCGGGAGCCTGGGAGGAGAAAGCCGTCTGGCCGGATCCCAGGTCGTGGGAGCTGTGGTTGATTTTAAAAGCTCCCATCCCGTCTGCGAACGGATTTATCCCCAAAGCCACTTCTCTTTCTGTGACTTCGCCTGTTGAGTGATGCCGTGAGGAGCCGAACGTAGTGACTCCTATGGTGGGGTACTGGGGTCCTGCATCCAGAAGCATCTTCCGTCTGTCTACAACGCAATGAGGCGACTGAGACCAGAAATAACAAATCACGAACAGATATTCTCTCACCCCTACACCTCTCTCACTTTCTCTCTGCCTGCTAAAAAATTTCTCTCTGACGTTACTGAGCTGTGCAAACTCCAATCCACCGGTTTTCTATTTACCTAAAACAAGAGTGGAATTTTCCCCCACACTACTTCTCATCGGATGCACACGCAAATCATGTACAATATTGTCTTTTGCGGTTTATCTTCCTGTGGCGAAACTTTCACCTCCCCAGTCAGGCGGTGAGCTTCAGACTGATAGTCGCAATCATTCCTGCAGATAAATGAATTGAAAAGACAACACAGTCCACCCCTGATGAATGGGGAGGAAAGGGGGGCCCATCATGTGACCCGGTACTCAGACGCTCATTGGAGGAGGCCCTATCCCCCTACTAACATTCACCCACCAAATAACAATCCGGGTGCGGAGGCCCCTCTCCTATTGGTCCGTGTGTATCATCAATCCCAGGTATGGTGAGATTGCTGACTGTAGTTTTGGTTAAACGGCTGAATAACAGTTGAAAGAAAGTTGAGAAATATAAAAGCAACAATAGACGGTGTGAAACTGTAGACAGCGTTGGCTATTCAGTCCCACTATACACTGTTAAAAGTCAAATGCATGCATGTTCTTCTACAACTAATGCGTAGCAACAACTTTACATACTAAAACAGACTTTTTGTTTGGGGGGGCGAGGGGGTTGTGTACACATGCTGATGTAGAGCATGGCTATTCGGCTGCATACCAAGAATTCAATGTGTCGTTGAATGTTGTTGCACAGCAAAGAGACTGCGGAGGCATTATATACCACACACTCTTTGTTGTTGATCCGGGATATTTGTTTGATTTCATAGGACACACGTTGAGGGCATGGCAATGTCTTTGTTGATTTCCATGGCAATTTTGGGTTCCAGTAAAATTTCCGGCGGATGAAAGGGAACGGAAAAGAAGACTCGACTCCATTTCCCCCTCTCTATTCAAGTGGGTTAGGGAGTAGAGGCTGCAGGGATGCATACCAGAATGGAATATTACTTTTTACTAACATGAGAATCCTACAAAATGACCAAAACGTAAATATGTGACTGTAATGAAACAGCAACATGAAGTCACAAACACATAAAAAAATTATTAATAGCAGATGAATAACAAAAACGAATTATCATACATGTACCACGATGAAGTGTTTTTTATTTATTTGTCAGTTCAAATAGGCTACAGGTCAATCTCGAAATAACAATCCAATGTCAATGTTGAAACACACCGCGAGTAGCCTAACAATCCCAGGTAGGCGTACTCATCATGCAATGTTTTATTATTTTAAATTTTAATATAACCTTTATTTAACTAGGCAAGTCAGTTAAGAACAAATTCTTATTAACAATGACGGCCTACAGCACCTCTTTTATAAAGCTGTCGTCGAGTTTTGCACTTCATGTGTTACTATTTACACCTCAGGTGTTGTTTGTGACCATGGAAACATCTACAGATGGAAGATCTTAATCTGATCACCCTGTTGCAGGAGAATATTTACAGATGGAAGATCTTAATCTGATCACCCTGTTGCAGGAGAATATTTACAGATGGAAGATCTTAATCTGATCACCCTGTTGCAGGACAACATCTACAGATTGAGCATCTTTAATCTGATCACCCTGTTGCAGGAGAACATTTACAGATTGAGGATCTTCATTTGATCACCCTGTTGCAGGAGAACATTTACAGATTGAGGATCTTCATTTGATCACCCTGTTGCAGGAGAACTTTCCTGCAATGCAGAACATTTTGAACATTTAGAAGTGTGTTTGAGGTTTAAACAGGCTTCTGAAGTTTGTAATCTCCACTTCAAAATTCAGACTTGATTTTCCCTGACGAAAAATGTATCAACCCCTACAAAAAATGTCCATTAATTATAATCCACATAATAATATCTGATTCTGCAGGATTATTTTCCTGCTGTAGCAAACTGGCTCAAATTAGGATCCTACATATGTCGGGCCTAGGCTATAGTTATCTGTGAACTCTATTCTGCGTCAACTCTGCTCCCCCCCCCCCCCCCCCCCACCCCACCCCACCCCCACCCTCTCTTTCTCTCTGTCTCTCTCTCCATTTTTGCAGTAGCCTCGTAGAGGGAACATTGGCAGTGTCAGGACTCTCTTCTGGCATGATCATTCTCACCTAAATACTTTCTCAAAAAGCATACAAGAGGTTCTCATCACAAAGACATATAATAATCAGTCATCTTGAAGAACATTTACAATGATATCTCGCGCACTGGTGATTGTTGAAAACTAAACGTTAGTCGCATTTTTTTTTTTTTTGTTGGGCGACTAATAGAAGCTTACTGCGTCACCATATCTAGACTGTATATATGTGTAGAACGTTGTGGGTTGTCGAGGTTATGAAGTGGGATTTGCGGCTCTCGCTGCAGGAACCTGCTCTGGTTCAAGGCCACATGAACAGACGTGCAATACGAACCATTGACACATCATTTTGACTGCACGTTTCTGCTTCATACATTCCCGAACTGATTCCAGAGAGGCCAAGGGGAAGACAACATAATCTAGAGCTCTCTTTTTCCATACAACTTCTATCAAGTTTTTAAGTAGACTACCACAACACACACAAAAATATTGGCTTCAACAGGTGGAAAACGGTCAGGATGGAACGTGTGTCGAAGTGACTTTGAAAAGGGAATAAATAAATACCTTTATGGGTTCACCAGGTGTCTGGGAATCGTCAAATACACCAACAGAAGCAAACAAGCTTTATAGTTGAATCTGCATGTTTATTTTGTACTAATTTATCTGACATCAGAAGTGTCCGGTGATTGACGCATTTATTGTTGACTGATTATTTATTGGGAATGGAGAACTGTAAATCAGGGTGACCAATGATATGGATTCCATTATGGGTGGAGGCCTCTAATGTAATTTATATAATAGTCGATAGGACAGGCTACAGGGCATTTCTTTGATCTAAACATAACGTAATAGTGATGTTATTAAGTCCTAGCATCATGCGGTGTCTAACAACTGCGTCAAAATAGGCATTTTCTGAAATGCATTGAGTTTGGATAGGCAATCTAATTCTGTTTGGCGAAAGGCATATACCTCGAGCTGTTTGTAACGAAATATATGTACAGTGTATGTATATAGCATATATATATATATATATATATACGCAAAACGACTCAACTAGCCTACCGATTACGCGTTTTGGTCTGGTCTTAATCCTTAGCCTTGTCCATCGTGTCTTGTGGTTTACAGGAGGTTGCATCTTGGACCAGAAATAGCTCTTCCAAGTCATATGCATTACTGCAGTGTGTTCCCGAGATGCCCCTCTCTCTCTCTCTGCAGACTACAGCTGCGACCCTGCACTAGGCACCTGGAGCATCGGCCATTTCATAAACATAGCCAGGATCACACATATTTCACATCATATTTACTCATTTATGACGTGTTTAACGTGGCTTTGTCACCAAAATGACTTTGACAAGTCAATCCTGGATATGATTCTCCTGAGACGTTCAATTCCTGTCATTAAGATACTCTCTATCTCTATATGTACTGTATTTACAATGGTAGCCTGTGCGTAATATGCCACGGACGCGTCACCTTTCTCCCCCTCAAAAAAGCGTACATTTCGGTTTTACGTTTTTGGTGTACAGAATAAAGCACATGGCCTACTACGATGATATCAATTGAATTACTGTTGACCGAATAACATGGAAGGAATGGTCACCAATACTAACATAAATAAATATGTGACCCATTCACCTACATATAGTGTTTTCTTTTTTTAGAATGCAGAATGTCACATGCATTCTGTTGTTTAGACCGATGAAGTCTGCGGGACTCACGTAGATTTTGAGCAGAGTACGGTGTTGGGTAGGCTAGTGCAACATTTTCTAACTTCTTGCATGCCGTGTTTTGAGACAGCAAGAAGTGCCTAAAATGAAATCGACCCCAAAAGTTTTTTTGCAATAGATTGATGTTGTAATCACCACGTTATTGAGATACTAATGGAATATTTTATACGTTTTACTGATGAACGAATTCATTCCACATTGAGAATGGACAGTACTTTTGTTCACCAGCGCAATGAGACTCGTGCATGAATATAACCCAACCTGGGTCTCTCAAATACCTATTGAAGTGATGGTCACAACGTACTAAAATATTGGCGTGACACAATGTCAAAATAAATTAAGGCTTTACTGCCTCTGAACTACCCATCGCTCTCTGAGACAACAACCCAATGATTGGCTACGGTCACTTTATAATCCGACCAATAGTTAAACATATTATACATGTGATATTTGACATGAATCTAATGGTAACGGTTTGACCTCCTTTTTGGGTCAATTCACAGAACAATTCATATTTGTCTCCGACTGATTTGATTAAGATAAAGGGCCCATGCAATTTAGATTAAGGTAAGAATATTTAAGTATATGTGGATTAATATGCATTCATATATGCATGCATGCATTTACAAAATGTTAAAGTTTGATAAAAAAAATATATATACAATGTTGTAGCTGGGAGGACCCATGACAACAGTTTTATAGCCTATAATTAGGTTACAAATATAAATAGTTCCCTAATATAGATGTGAACAGCGAAATAAAGTTGATAACAATGTTAATGTTATCACATCGCAGCTCAATGTCTTCATTATGTAGTTGAATATATTAGGCCTAATATAACGACAACACACTATAGCATCACAAAGAGCACAGATGAGCGGATTGTTTTAAAATATATTATATAACATATGGATCTTCACCTGCTCCAATACGCGTTGGTTTTTGAAGAAATATGTTAGGAGTGGAGAGGAAAAACTTGATTAACTATTAACTCCCATAGTCTAACATAATCCAAAGACAAAGTAAATGTGAAATATGTTTTGTGATTTATGGTATAGTCTAGCGGTGTGGTCACTGGGTTGCTGATTTTAAAGCAGTGAATAATCAATAAGATTAACTTTCTTTGCTTTCGACAGCCGTTTTCTTCACCAGTGGACGTCCCTCTCCCTCTCAGAGTATCATTCTAAAGTATAAACTCATATTTTAGCAAGTCTTATTTTGGGCTTAAATCTCTGTCTATCTTGTGCGGTTCTGTGGCGTTGATCAGGCGCCACCTCCCGTGTCCCCGATCCGCTCCTGTTCTGGGTCTCAATCCGATAGGGCTCGTGACCGAAAATTACCCCGGATCATAACAACAGGTCGGTTCCATTACTTTTCCCCGGGACAATGGACGGCGTCGTCTCTATTCACTAATACACAGAAACCGATCCCGCTACGAGGAACAGGGCGAAGCGCAGCTAGCGAGCGAGGAGGGGTGGTGCGGTGCGGACGAACAAGCGAGCGGGTGGGAGGAGGTGTAAAATATGTTTCATTATTTTACCGGATATTTTTTGGCCTTTGAGTGATGCGTAAAAACTCCGAACCGCGGAAAACTGCTTTTGAGAAAAGGACTAGTCTATGTTTGAAAAGATATCCGATACTTTGATGCCCACATTTTCTGACTGTGCGTATATTTTATGAATTTCAATGACGTATTTTCGTAAATTATGCACCGAAATGAAGATATCTCTCTATTGATTATGAGCTATAGCCTACAACTTGTTTTAGAGGCTATACTTTGCATACGTTTCATGTCTACTGTAGGCTAGGTGTTATTTAGGCTACATTGGGTATATTGCACTTCCATAATTCTTAGTCACTCAGTAGAAAAATATGACAGTTACAGCTTTGGTGTAACGGTTTAACTTTTGGAGATCAGTTTAAAGTACAATAACCTTTGCATAACAACTACTTTATTTTTTTTTCTTCTTCCGAGTGTTGCCTGAGGCTCGGCGCAGGCGCTCTGCCTGCTTGCTGTCGCTAAGACATTTTTCTTCACATAGGAGACTGTCACAAGTGACGTCAATCACGGGGCTCTGACCAATTAGAAGGCGGGGTGATTGTTTAGCTCCACGGGCTGCAGCGCCTACCATGAATCTCTATTCACAATCAAAGCCTCCTGCTGCTGCCGACCAACCGAATGGGATTCCATGCAGCCACTGACATAGAATCACAACTTTATAACTTTTTTTTAAATATATGTTATAGTTAGTTTTTCTATATTTTTCATTGCAATTAAAATATGTTTGTCGTCATTATTATTTTGCTTGCTGTCAAGTTATTATAGAATTAGGAGTAATGAGCATGGATGCTTTGGGAAACCATGTGATGGACCATACGATTTCCAAACGGAACACGGCGCTGAGATTAGTTGAGTTGGTAGGGGCGCACCACCATCACCATCATCACCACCTTACCCCTCAGAGCGTGACAGGCTTCCCGGGGTTCAGCAGCCATCCACACTCAATGGCTCACTCGCACCCTGGGGAGATTACTGCGAAACCCCGCCTTGGGCCGAGTCCATTTGGGCCAGAACACATGGGGCACTCCGCGGCCCTCAAAATCAACCCAGCCCATCATTATCCACACCACCATCACCACCACAATCATCATATGGCAGGCCACAGTGAAGTGGTCTCCAGTCAAACGGGAGCTTTTGGCCCGGTGCAGGCGGCTCCAGTCCCCTATTCTATGACCCACACGGCCCAGGCGTTATCCGCAGCCGCAGGTAGGGATTTCCTCATTCGGAGAGATCTGATAGCTCAAGACATGCCGGTACTGACCGACCAGAGCCCCGGTTCAACCTCGCATCACGGAATGTTTGTCTCAACAACAGGTAGCTATCCGGGACACTATGGCCATCACCCGGATGCAGGGAGCCATGCCCTCTTCTCCGGACTCCACCATGAGCAGTCATCAAGCGGAGCACCAGGTGGCCAAGCCATGAATGGACAAATAAGGTTAGGAATACCTGGCGAAATGTACGTTAGGTCTGATCACTTGAGTCAAGTGGCGAGCTCCAGGGCTGATCCGTTCTCCGCCTCGACGTTACATGGCTACGGCGGTCTGAACCATCTGAACATGAACCTCAGCGCCCAGCATCACGGAGCCGGTGCATTCTTCCGCTACATGAGGCAGCCGATAAAGCAAGAACTCATCTGCAAGTGGCATGAACCGGAACAGTCCCCGAAGAAACTCTGCTCCAAAACTTACAGCACGATGCACGAGCTGGTAACGCATGTGACGGTGGAACATGTCGGTGGACCCGAGATGGCTAACCATGTCTGCTTCTGGGAAGAGTGTCCCAGAGAAGGAAAACCATTTAAAGCCAAGTACAAACTTGTAAATCATATCAGGGTGCACACCGGAGAGAAACCATTTCCATGTCCCTTCCCCGGCTGTGGAAAAGTATTTGCCCGATCAGAGAACCTGAAGATCCACAAGAGGACTCACACAGGTCAGTTACTTTATTTCCGTTTCAGACATCGGTGAAGAATGTATCCTCCTCCAGCATTGAGCGAGGTTACGATTTGAATGTATGGACTGCTATCATTCATGGATTGAACCCTTATTCCACACTAGAGCTAAATTCACATTTCTATTTGATATTGCTTTTAAATTAAATGTAGTTATTTTGAAAATGTATGCTGTACATTAGCCACAGCGCAAAAGAAAGGGAAACCAATATTATTTAACATTTCATTTAACCAATGGTCAAATCCCTGAAAGCAATATTTATTTGATAAATATATCGATATGTATTTGTTTTATTCTTTCTAAATGTGATATTTGGATCGTGGCATTTCAAAGAAACAATATTTCGGCTACCAAAACGTTGGCATGACATTGAGCCTGATTAGCCTAAACACTAGGCAAGAGGGTATGGTTGGACAAACACATTTCCGATGTGTTTGTTGTGAGTTGCTCCAGTGGGCAAGCACTGTACAGAGATAGTGCTAGGGGGATTATGGTAGGACATCATCTTTCACACAGGCGTTTGATGTTTGCCAAAACATGCGGGCAGAAGAGAGACTGGGGCCCACACGGTCTGTCCAACTGTTGCGTTGTCTGCAACAGGGTCATGTCTATATGTGATACAGTTTATGTCAAATTGACGTCGAACGTTGAAAATGTTTGCATTTTAACTAACCCTAAACTTCTTCCTAACCTTAACCCAATTCTCCTAATCTGCTGCGCACATTATCCTAACCTGCTACGAAAAGTCAATTTTGACATAAAGCTGTACTCTCGAAACCCTGCTGCAGGGACATGCAATCAAACACATCAGATAGAACATCGTTGCTTACTTTTCTGAAGTCTCATTTACCGCCTTATAATGTTGTAGAATCCTGCTGGTTTCGGAATGCAGTTGGTAGTAAGTAGCCTTGGAGTGGAAGTAAGTTCTGATGCTGTGTTGGACCTGTTTCTGGAGTGGAGACCCTTTATGGTTCCGCTGCCATGCATAACCCCTGGATGTGTCTTTTAATACTTAGATTTGTCAAGGAGACTGTTTGTATAAAGTTTGGTATGCTGTTGAGCCTGGAACTGAATAGTCACGTAGAATATTAATAATACTTATTTTATATATGGCCCAGTTGGTAAAGCATGGCACTTGCACCGCCAGGATAGTGGGTTCGATTCCCACTTGGGCCACCCATACGTAAAATGTATGCACTTTGGATAAAAGCGTCTGCTAAATGGCATTATTGTTATTGTTATTATTGTTATTATTGTTATTATTATTATTATTATTATTATTATTATTATTATTATTAGTGTTATGGTTATGGTAATTATAGGAATTAATAATACTAATATTATTGTTATGATTATGATTATGATTATTGTTATTATTATTGTTATTATTATTATTATTATTATTATTATTATTATTATTATTATTAATTATTATATCAGTCATGAAACATTGCTAAGAAAACATAACAAACAGGTTAATACAATAATTTCCATGTGTAGGCTATATTATGGTTATGATTCATATGTTATTAGTATTAGTTTTATACATATTATTATTATTATTATTATTAATAGTAGTAATAGCAGTATTATTTGTATTATTATTTCTCTGTTAAATATTAATATGTTGTATTTCCTTGTATGGTTATTATCTTACTTGTTATCATTAGGTCATAAGTGGTGGGGTGGATTGTAGTTATTGCAGTAGTAGTAGTAGTAGTAGTAGTAGTAGTAGTAGTAGTAGTAGTAGTAGTATAGTGTAGTAGTAGTAGTATAGTAGTGAGTAGTAGTAGTAGTAGTAGTAGCAGTAGTAGAGTAGTAGTAGTTATCAGTTAGTAGTTAGTAGTAGTAGTAGTAGTAGTAGTAGTAGTAGTAGTGGTAGCAGCAGTAGCAGTAGTAGTAGTAGTAGTAGTAGTAGTAGTAGTAGTAGTAGTAGTAGTAGTAAGTGGGTAGCAGCAGTAACATTAGCAGTAGTTAGCAGTAGTAGTAGTAGTAGTAGTAGTAGTAAGTAGTAATAGTAGTAGAGTAGTAGTAGTAGTGTAGCAGCAAAGTAGTCTTATAAGTTTAGTCAGTAGTAGTAGTAGTAGTAGTGTAGTAGTAGTAGTAGTAGTAGTAGTATAGTAGTAGTAGTTAGTAGTAGTAAGTACATAGTAGTAGGGTAGTAGTAGTAGTGTAGTAGTAGTAGTAGTAGTGTAGGTAGTAGTCATAGTAGTTAGTAGTAAGTTAGTAGTGGTAGTAGTTAGTTAGTAGTAGTTGTAGTAGATAAGTATTAGTAGTAGTGTAGTAGTAGTAGTAGATAGTAGTAGTAATTATTAGTAGTAGTAGTAGTAGTGTGTAGAGTGTAGTGAGTAGTATTAGTAGTTAGTAGTAGTAGTTAGTAGTATGTAGTAGTAATGTATAGTGGTAGTAGTAGTGTAGTAGTGTAGTAGAGTATAGTTAAGTAGTGGTAAGTAGTAGTGTGTAGTAGTAGTAGTAGCAGTAGTGAGGTAAGAGTATATAGTGTTAGTAGTAGTAGTAGTAGTAGTAGTAGTAGGAGTAGTATAGTAGTAGGTAGAAGTAGATAGAGTAGTAGAAGTAGTAGTATTAAGGTACAGTAGTAGTAGTGAGTTAGTAGTGTAGAGTAGAGTAGCTAGTAGTAGTAGTAGTGTAGAGCAGTAGTATACAGTATATACAGTAGTAGTAGTAGTTAGTAGTAGTAGTAGTAATTGCAAGTATAGTAGTTGGTAACAGTAGTATATGTGTTTAGTAGTAGTAGTAGCAGAGTAGCAGTTAGTAGTATAGTAGTAGTAGTAGTATGTAGGTAAGTAGTATATGTAGTAGTAGTTAGTAGTAGTAGTAGTAGTAGTAGCAGTAAGTATATTAGTATGTAGTAGTATAGTAGATAGTAGGTAATAGTAGAGTAGTAGTCAGTAGTAGTAGAGTAGTTAGTAGTAGAGTAGTAGTAGCATGATAGTAGATAGTAGGTATTGTAGATAGTAGTAGCAGTAGTAGAGTAAACAGTAGTAGTAGTGTAGTTGTAGTTGTAGTAGTAAGTAGTAGTAGTAGTAGCAGTAGTAGTGGTAGTAGTAGTAGTAGTAGTTGAGTATAGTAGTAGTAGTAGATATGTAGTATAGTAGTAGTAGTAGTAGGTATAGTTGTATGTAGAGCTAGCTAGTAGTATAGTAGTAGTAGTAGTAGTATAGTAGTAGTAGTAGTAGTTAGTAGAGTAGTAGTAGTAGTATAGTAGTAGTAGTAGTAGAGAGTAGAAGTAGCTAGTATAGTGTAGCAGTAGTAGTATGTTAGTAGTATGTGTAGTAGTAGTAGCAGTAGTAGCAGTAGTATTACTATTAGTAGTAGTAGTATAGTAGTAGTAGTAGTAGTAGAGTAGTAGCAGTATTAGTAGTAGTAGTAGTAGTAGAGTAGTATTGTAGTTGTAGAGTAGTAGATAGAGTATAGTAGTAGTAGAGATAGTAGTAGTAGTGTTAGTAGTATAGTAGCATTAGTAGTAGTAGTGATAGTATAGTAGTATAGAGATGTAGTAGATTAGTAGTAGTAGTAGTAGTAGTAAATATAGAGTAGTAGAAGTAGTAGTAGTAGAAGTGTAGTAGTATAGTATAGTATTAGTAGTAGTAGAGTAGTAGTAGTGTAGTAGCAGAGTAGAGTAGTAGTAGTAGTAGTAGTAGTAGATAGTAGTAATTAGTAGTAGTAGTGAAGTAGTATAGTATAGAGCAGTAGATATAGAGTAGTTAGAGAGTAGTACATAGTAGTAGTATAGTGGTATGTAGTATGTAGAGTAGCAGTAGCATAGTATAGTAGTAGCTAGTAGTAGTAAAGTAGTAGTAGTAGTAGGTAGTAGTAGTAGTAGTAGTAGTAGTAGTATTAGTAGTAGTAGAGTAGTAGTAGTAGTTAGAAGTAGAAGTAGTAGTAAGTAGAAGTAGTAGTAGTGTAGTAGTAGTAGTAGTAGTAGTAATTTATAAAAAATAGTAGTAATATGCTATAATACACACAATATGAAATCATGGCAAAGTTGTCATATTCATACAAATGTATTTATATAAATTCATTCATATTAATTGGAAACCCCTCTGGAAACCCCTCTTTTGTAGTATTGCTCTGGGAAGGGTTGTAATATTGCTCAGGGAAGGGTTGTAATATTGCTCAGGGAAGGTTTTAGTATTGCTCAGGGAAGGGTTGTAATATTGCTCAGGGAAGGCTTGTAATATTGCTCAGGGAAGGGTTGTAATATTGCTCAGGGAAGGGTTGTAATATTGCTCAGGGAAGGTTTTAGTATGCTCAGGGAAGGGTTGTAATATTGCTCAGGGAAGGCTTGTAATATTGCTCAGGGAAGGGTTGTAATATTGCTCAGGGAAGGGTTGTAATATTGCTCAGGGAAGGCTTGTAATATTGCTCAGGGAAGGTTTTAGTATTGCTCAGGGAAGGGTTGTAATATTGCTCAGGGAAGGGTTGTAATATGCTCAGGGAAGGGTTGTAATATTGCTCAGGGAAGGTTGTAATATGCTCAGGGAAGGGTTGTAATATGCTCAGGGAAGGTTTTAGTATTGCTCAGGGAAGGGTTGTAATATTGCTCAGGGAAGGGTTGTAATATTGCCAGGGAAGGGTTGTAATATTGCTCAGGGAAGGGTTGTAATATTGCTCAGGGAAGGGTTGTAATATTGCTCAGGGAAGGGTTGTAATATTGCTCAGGGAAGGGTTGTAATATTGCTCAGGGAAGGTTGTAATATGGTCAGGGAAGGTGTAATATTGTCAGGGAAGGTTTGTAAATTGCTCAGGGAAGGGTTGTAATATTGCACAGGGAAGGTTTTAGTATTGGTAAGGAAAGGGTACGGCAGCAGCCAGCAGATGAGGAGGAGCCATATAGCAGCGTAACAGGCAGGGCAGCAGAACAAGAGGAGGAGCCATATAGCAGCGTAACAGGCAAGGCAGCAGAACAAGAGGAGGAGCCATATAGCAGCGTAACAGGCAGGGCAGCAGAACAAGAGGAGGAGCCATATAGCAGCGTAACAGGCAGGGCAGCAGAACAAGAGGAGGAGCCATATAGCAGCGTAACAGGCAGGGCAGCAGAACAAGAGGAGGAGCCATATAGCAGCGTAACAGGCAGGGCAGCAGAACAAGGGGAGGAGCCATATAGCAGCGTAACAGGCAGGGCAGCAGAACAAGGGGAGGAGCCATATAGCAGCGTAACAGGCAGGGCAGCAGAACAAGAGGAGGAGCCATATAGCAGCGTAACAGGCAGGGCAGCAGAACAAGGGGAGGAGCCATATAGCAGCGTAACAGGCAGGGCAGCAGAACAAGAGGAGGAGCCATATAGCAGCGTAACAGGCAGGGCAGCAGAACAAGGGGAGGAGCCATATAGCAGCGTAACAGGCAGGGCAGCAGAACAAGGGGAGGAGCCATATAGCAGCGTAACAGGCAGGGCAGCAGAACAAGAGGAGGAGCCATATAGCAGCGTAACAGGCAGGGCAGCCATAATGACCCTCTTATCCATCCTGCCTACAGTTTTACCTGATGGACACATGTAATGTAGCTTAGTACCGTTCTAGTTTCATTTTACCAGAGATAATGACATGAAGAGAGTCATTTTTCCAGAACAAATATGACCGCCAGTCTGCTGGCTGCTGCCTATCTAAAGGGCCAGCGAGGTTCGGCAAAAGTGCAGTTTTGACCCACATAAAAAGCCTTCCTTAGGGCCTTGGTGAGAGAACGGCACATAATATGACTCCGATTCCTTTACGGTGAATGAATAATTTGCCTCCGCTGCCTCATTTCGTCCTCTAAATGTATTATTCATATAATTTGCTCACATTACTTAAGTACAAATCTGTTAAATTATTTCTGCGTGTGTTGACTCCCAAGGGCCCTGGTCCAGGGTATCATGTTTAAAACCTACCGGGATCTGTGGTTATGGCTGGGTTTCCCCTGGGATGTGTTCTGAGACGTGTTCTTGTACTACGCTAATATCCCTGATTTGCTCTCTCAGCCCAACAGCTGAAGGTCAAATTGATATTCAACGTGCATGTGTAATTAGACTGGAGCAATTATATATTCTCTGTAGCTAAGCGCCTAGCTGCCTGACAACGTTGCCTTGCGTTGGAGAGATCAGCATAGGATGATTTCAGAGTAATTAATTCAACCATTATGTTTTCCAGGTTATGCTGTCTAGGCTACACAGAGGAATCAAGCTGTGGCTTGTTGGAGAGTAACATTCTGTTTTTCATTACACAGTACTAGCTTTGATACCATATTTACAATATAAATACAGTATCAAATCAGGTGCTGCTTTTAATGACACACAGTACAATATTGTAAAATTGACTTTATTACACTGTAAAAAAAAAAAAAAAAAAAAAGTGAATGCTTCTGTAATCTGAATGAATGAATGACTAAAATGTATTGAGGGGAGGGGTTTGTATTTCACAGTATTGTACTGTAATTACAAGGGATTGGTGCAAGCAGGTTGGCTGCTAGGCAAAGTGTTCACACATTACATTATATTAATGAACATATGGTGTTTTATATCACTTTCACTTCTAGAGGCCTTAACAAAGGCTTCCAAACTGGCAGTGACCACAGAGCAACACAGACCAAGAAGACATAACATGACAGACCAGGAGGACATGGCAACGTGCTCACTCATTTCAGTTTTAAGAATTGCTGCCACTCCAATCTGTCCCCTATACATTTTAAACGTCATGGGGCACTATAACCCCACTATAAACTGATACAACATTCTCAGTCACGTGTGCAACAAATGTAGCGTCTTACAAGGCACGGCTGAATACCGTGCACTCACTAGTGGTGAAAAGTTTTTTGGCGCTCCAAGGATAGGGTGTGGTACTTTTTTTCTGTGCGGTGGAATTACAGTAGGCCTACCATTCGAAATACAGCAATTTTCCCACAATCCACCACTATTTACAGTATGCTGCAGTAACACTTTTTTTTTTTTACTGTTGCTAATACCAAAAAGTACATTATAAATTACAATTTTCCATTACAGTGCAATATAAACAAGGAAATGTAAAGTATGGTAATAACTATTGATATAGGCCAGGTTATTTCTTTGACATACTCAAGAAAAACATATCCAAGCCATTCAAATCCTGCAAATGATCATCAATAATCTTCTTCTTCTTCTTCTTCTTCTTCTTCTTCTTCAATGTAAGACTTTGAACTACTGCATACAACAGCATTATGCATTGGGCTGTCCTAAAGGAACTCAGCTGGTTCATTGGGCTGTCCTAAAGGAACTCAGCTGGTTCATTGGGCTGTCCTAAAATAACTCAGATGGTTCATTGGGCTGTCCTAAAATAACTCAGCTGGTTCATTGGGCTGTCCTAAAATAACTCAGCTGGTTCGTTGGGCTGTCCTAAAGGAACTCAGCTGGTTTATTGGGCTGTCCTAAAATAACTCAGCTGGTTCATTGGGCTGTCCTAAAATAACTCAGCTGGTTTATTGGGCTGTCCTAAAATAACTCAGCTGGTTCATCGGGCTGTCCTAAAATAACTCAGCTGGTTCATTGGGCTATCCTAAAATAACTCAGCTGGTTCATTGGGCTGTCCTAAAGGAACTCCGCTGGTTTAATGGGCTGTCCTAAAATAACTCAGCTGGTTCATTGGGCTGTCCTAAAATAACTCAGCTGGTTCATTGGGCTGTCCTAAAGGAACTCCGCTGGTTTAATGGGCTGTCCTAAAATAACTCAGCTGGTTCATTGGGCTGTCCTAAAATAACTCAGCTGGTTCATTGGGCTGTCCTAAAATAACTCAGCTGGTTCATTGGGCTGTCCTAAAGGAACTCAGCTGGTTCATTGGGCTGTCCTAAAATAACTCAGCTGGTTCGTTGGGCTGTCCTAAAGGAACTCAGCTGGTTCATTGGGCTGTCCTAAAATAACTCAGCTGGTTCATTGGGCTGTCCTAAAATAACTCCGCTGGTTTATTGGGCTGTCCTAAAATAACTCAGCTGGTTCATTGGGCTGTCCTAAAATAACTCAGCTGGTTCATTGGGCTGTCCTAAAGGAACTCAGCTGGTTCATTGGGCTGTCCTAAAGGAACTCAGCTGGTTCATTGAGTCAAGTGCAATATGCAATCCACTATAGGCCAATATGGTTTTATTTGCCATAAATCACCTCACATATGTCCATGCTTCACCACCAAAAATAAAGTAGCGGTTCAGGTTTATGCCTTTGGGTTTTCTGAATCCAACACCTAACTTATGTTCCCTTATTTCAGGTGAGAAACCCTTCAAATGTGAGTTTGACGGCTGTGACCGACGTTTCGCCAACAGCAGTGACCGGAAGAAGCACTCCCACGTGCACACCAGCGATAAGCCCTACAACTGCAAAGTGAGAGGCTGTGACAAATCCTACACACACCCCAGCTCGCTCCGAAAACACATGAAAGTGCACTGCAAGTCTCCACCACCGAGCTCTGGCTACGAGTCATCAACCCCGTCATTGGTGTCCCCATCATCGGACTTAGGCCGAGAGCCAGGGGCCTCGTCGCTCTCGGAACCAGCAGCCTCGTCCCAGCCCGCCAATTTAAGAGAGTGGTACGTCTGTCATAGTTCGGGTGCCAGCGGCACTCAGACACCCCCCAGCGGCTCCTCCAGCCCTGATCCGGGGGATGAGACGCACTACAGGCACCCAGAGCCAAGGGACGCGTTCTAACCAAAATTGGCCTCTAAAATAATTAAAAACATATCAAAGATATTTTCTAATATGCCCATGGACTCAACAAATGAACATATCTAGAAGGTCTTTTTTCTAAAGGCCAAACAATTCAATATCGACAAATAAGAAACTGCCAAATTTCAGTTTTCTGATCGTTTTCTTATATCCCCAAGTATTCTGTTTGTAAATTTTTTCAATTTTCTCGTACTGGTTAATTGTACGCATGTATGTTGTTGTATTATTTTGTAAATCGAGTTTGAATTCAATATCTTTTTAATTTATTTTTTGAATTTGACATGAACATTTTTGTATTATCGAACCAAAGTGTTTCAATATGAAAAATAAATACATGTACATTTGTAAATTGCTAAAAATTCAATGTGTAAGTGTTGACAGTGATTTTGTAAGCTTTGATCTTTCAGCTATTTTAATTGTTTGCTGCTCTTATTTGTATAAATTAAATAATTCAGAAGTTTTGAGTTTCATACAGACATATTTTCTCCATTTGTGATGAAAGTCTATTGATTTAAGTGTTTTCATATAGTCTATTTGATATTACCAACATTACATTCATAAATGTTTGGTCAACGTGGGGGTATTTTGTGATTTTGTAATTCTCGTCAATATTTGTTAGTAATGCATTTTTATGAAAATGTTATCCTATCGAGAACAGACACTCTAAATATGTAACCAACTGCCTTGTAATTTGTCAGTATTTTGAATAAATCGTGTATGATAAAATTGCTATTTTACTTTTCTGGGCCTTTACATTTTAACATTGATATATACATAAAATCACGGATGTATTTGAATGCATATGCTATCAGGGTATACTGTTAACCAATATATCACAGGTTATGTAAAACGCCTTCAACCTCACGGTGTAGAGTATTCATGTATACATTTATAACGCAGCAGAGCAGAATAACACTAGTCTTTTTTTTTTTTAAGGAGTTTTATTTATTTTAAGTACAGAGACTTTTCTATCATTCTATTCAACAGCGAGCCTAATTGCCGTTTGTGACTCTCAGGTGTCATCTATAAGGCAGAGCCCATAAGGAACAAAACATGTTTTACCCACAGCAGGCACTTTAGACCTAACTTTCCAGTAGGATATTTTTTGTTTCGTTTGAATGACGTTAATGTATTTTTTTTAGCTGTAATTTCTACTACTATAGCTTCTTGCCAACGTGTAGCCATTTCAACATTTAAATCCGCATAAAGACACATTGAAAAGAAGCCATTCTCATAGGTGTTTTATTTAGCATTCGCTGAGCCTCCTGAATAGTGGAAAATTACAAAGCAATTCTTTAAAAGAAAATCCATATTTTTTTTGTGTGTGTGTTCTTCTCTAGTCATGTCCATGTCTTATTTGTGCGGGCTCTATTTCTCTCTTAGATAAAGTGTGATTTTATGCAGGGCAGATGCGGGCAGCGTTTGATGAAAGGCTATATTCTCATCCAGACTTCAAAGATCTTTTAACACAAAGAGCCATTTCTTCACGACGATGAATCCTCACGGCGAATTAAGATTTCTATAGCAATAGCCGAGTCAAACTCGAATAATATGGGGCCAAGTCCGAGGACTTCAACGCCTCTTCAAAGGAATGTAATATTTGCTGCCCATGGGGTAGGAAACGGTCATCTATGGTCTTTCTATCCAATATAAGGATAAAATATTCTTTAGCTATATTTTTTCAACTATCAAAAGAGAAGCGGATAGAGTTACGCACTTATTCCCACAATAACAGACTTGCATTGCATAGCTGCTTGGATGCGTCCTGTGAACGGAGGCTGTAGTTAGTGGGTTCTGCTTTCTTCAAGACGAGTATGTTATAGCTACATGTTCGGGATTGAGGGGAATAAGCACAACCATGCTAACAGTGTTTTTAGAGATGGTCGAAAGCCAATATCTCGACAGAGGTGAAGTTTGGAACAGGTAGTCTATTAGTAAAAACCTTTCCTATGTGACTGAGCTAATTGTGGTGCACATGGACATTTAGGCAAGCTAAAATGTAATAGTATTTAATAATACATTAAACTGTTATCAAATTCCTCGTATTAAAAAAATAATAATACAATAATAGCCTATCAACGGGTTTGTGTCTTAATTTATTCCATCACGTCAAACATACACCGGGCAATGTTATGCACTAATTAAGACATGTACATAAATGCTTTTACTATGGTCTGAGGCATATGTTTGTCTTAAAGAGGCTGAGAGTCTGCAGAACCCGCTGTAAAACATTAGCCATTCTGAGGAATGAGCAAGGCGGGAGTCCCGACTGTCTGACACGTTTAGAGTTTGTTCCTTTGGTGCTTGTATTGCCGTTTACTCTTGTCCAAGTGCCCCACCGAAAAGAAGAAATAATAAACACTACAAAAAAAAATAACCAAACAGTTGAGTCCTCTCCATAGCACCAGATCTTGTGCCTGAATGGGGTAAAAGATAGTTCGGTCTCAATTGAAGCGAGGAGTCTTTGAAGCGGGACTTATTATCTGAGGGATTCTTCCATGTAGTCTAAACGACGCTGATGACACGGAAAGCCTTCTTTGTCACGGATGTGTTCGACTCGTCTCTGCTGCGCCTTCCAGCGCTTTTAGTTCCAGCCGTCAAAGTGGAGACAAGGGCTGACAAAATGGTGTAATTATTATTATTTTAAATAAACTATAATTATTCAACACTAAAACTTATAGAGGTGAGAATACACAGTTTCTGCACTGCATGAAAAAAAAAAAAAACATTGACCGTGCATGTTTGGAGTGTGTAAGCGAGTACAAGTGTGTGTGTCTGTGTCTGTGTGTTTGTGTGTGTGAGTGTGTGTGTGTGTGTGTGAGAGAGAGAGAGAGAGAGAGAGAGAGAGAGAGAGAGAGAGAGAGAGAGAGAGCGAGAGAGAGAGGAAGAGAGAGAACAAACTATAATGCATCGTAGAATTAAAATAAAGTGTATTGCCTTTTTCATCCGCAAGCATGTACCTAACTCATACATGTCCGTTATTACATTAGACTAGGGAAGCCGCAAGCATGTACCTAACTCATACATGTCTGTAATTACATTAGACTAGGGAAGCCGCAAGCATGTACCTAACTCATACATGTCCATTATTACATTAGACTAGGGAAGCCGCAAGCATGTACCTAACTCATACATGTCCATTTTTACATTAGACTAGGGAAGCCGCAAGCATGTACCTAACTCATACATGTCTGTAATTACATTAGACTAGGGAAGCCGCAAGCATGTACCTAACTCATACATGTCCGTTATTACATTAGACTAGGGAAGCCGCAAGCATGTACCTAACTCATACATGTCTGTAATTACATTAGACTAGGGAAGCCGCAAGCATGTACCTAACTCATACATGTCCATTATTACATTAGACTAGGGAAGCCGCAAGCATGTACCTAACTCATACATGTCTGTAATTACATTAGACTAGGGAAGCCGCAAGCATGTACCTAACTCATACATGTCTGTAATTACATTAGACTAGGGAAGCCGCAAGCATGTACCTAACTCATACATGTCCTGTAATTACATTAGACTAGGGAAGCCGCAAGCATGTACCTAACTCATACATGTCTGTAATTACATTAGACTAGGGAAGCCGCAAGCATGTACCTAACTCATACATGTCTGTAATTACATTAGACTAGGGAAGCCGCAAGCATGTACCTAACTCATACATATCCGTTATTACATTAGACTAGGGAAGCCGCAAGCATGTACCTAACTCATACATGTCTGTAATTACATTAGACTAGGGAAGCCGCAAGCATGTACCTAACTCATACATGTCTGTATTACATTAGACTAGGGAAGCCGCAAGCATGTACCTAACTCATACATGTCCATTATTACATTAGACTAGGGAAGCCGCAAGCATGTACCTAACTCATACATGTCTGTAATTACATTAGACTAGGGAAGCCGCAAGCATGTACCTAACTCATACATGTCTGTAATTACATTAGACTAGGGAAGCCGCAAGCATGTACCTAACTCATACATGTCTGTAATTACATTAGACTAGGGAAGCCGCAAGCATGTACCTAACTCATACATGTCCGTATTACATTAGACTAGGGAAGCCGCAAGCATGTACCTAACTCATACATGTCTGTAATTACATTAGACTAGGGAAGCCGCAAGCATGTACCTAACTCATACATGTCCATTATTACATTAGACTAGGGAAGCCCCAAGCACGTACCTAACTCATACATGTCTGTAATTACATTAGACTAGGGAAGCCGCAAGCATGTACCTAACTCATACATGTCTGTAATTACATTAGACTAGGGAAGCCGCAAGCATGTACCTAACTCATACATGTCCGTTATTACATTAGACTAGGGAAGCCGCAAGCATGTACCTAACTCATACATGTCTGTAATTACATTAGACTAGGGAAGCCGCAAGCATGTACCTAACTCATACATGTCTGTAATTACATTAGACTAGGGAAGCCCCGAGCATAACCAGCGGTTACAACGACATATTGATCACCCCCAGGCCCCACTATAGGCAACTCTGCTGTTATAGATAGCATGAAGAGCCCGCGACACCCTGGGTTCCATTTTTCACCAGAAGTTTACTTTCAGTGCCTGTACAGCTTCATGAGGATATCATAGTAGCTGGCTATGATCAACATAAAGTGTGCGTTCCAAATGTCACGCTATTCCCTACATAAAGCACTACTTTTTGACCAGAGCCCTACACCCCTGGTAAACAAAATAGTGCACCATCAGAGGGTTTAAGGTGCCATTTGGGACGCAGGCAAAGACTAGATGAGGATATGATAGTAGTTGGGTATAACATACTGTAGTTGGGCTGGTTGGGCAGGCTGGTTGGGCAGGCTGGTTGGGCAGGCTGGTTGGGCAGGCTGGTTGGACAGGCTGGTTGGGCAGGCTGGTTGGACAGGCTGGTTGGGCAGGCTGGTTGGACAGGCTGGTTGGGCAGGCTGGTTGGGCAGGCTGGTTGGACAGGCTGGT